TTGGAACTCTCAGCTATTTTTTTAATAACATTTTAGTCACCTTAGGTCCTTTAAGGTGATTTAAAGATTGATAGTGGAGTTTTTTATATATCGGAATGAATAGGCCTGATGATGTCAATGAATTTCACTTAGCTTTGCCCCAAAAAGTTTTGCTTATTCGGGTTGTACTAAAATTTCAACCCCAACGTGATTTTGCCAGTCGTGAGCATTGTGTGAACGCTACCATTTCACTAGCTAAACTTGCTTTGTGATTCACTGTCCCCACGATGTACACGATCCTGTTTACAATTCCGTTGGACGTGCTGAAGAGATCTAGAGGAGGTCGACGCTACAGTCTAACTGGATGGGAAAATTTTTTTATGAGAAGTGAAATTTCATGGTATCGCGAGGCCTATTCATTTGATTTTGGTATAAACTACACTATCACTTCTACGGTGACCGAGTACTCATCATATTTATTTTATAAAACTCAGCCTCTACTTTTTGGCAATACATTAAATCCTTGGGTTTTATTACATACCTATTTTATAAAGACATTCATTTTATCCTTGCCTTCCAGCTTTGGCCACATTTATTTAATTGAGTTAGAAGTTTACTAATCTACAGCATTCGTCAATTATTTGAGACTCCTTAATTCTTGAGGTAATAAAACTTAAGCTTTTTTGTCTCTGCATCATTTTTTAAAGTAAATTTGCGACCTTTCGACTGGAATTAACCGCGTATTTACAACTAGCTAGTAAGAACTTATTCCAGAATTACTAATAGTCTCTGAACCTATTTATTCCGGGAACCAGCTTGTGCATTTTGTTATATTTGATGAAATGAATATTCTTAGTTCTAAACTAATTTTAGTTATATGCAACTTTATAAACTTGCTATGCTAGTTTCTTATTAGCGATGACTTTTTCCTAAGACTAAGAATATTGTTTCTGCTTTATTTATTATCATTTTCATCTCAATTGTATGCAGCTCTTCTTCAAAATATAGGAACCTTCATTCCATCCTCGCAAGCCCTTTCCTCATTGTTTAGATATTTGAGTTTGTATGCTTTTATATTTTTATTTTTCTGATCTTTAATAGATTTTAATAATTAGAGTACTTTTCTTTTCATGCACTTTTTGGCGTCACTTTTACCCCACATTCTTGCCGCATATCAGATTTTTTGTTTAGCCATGTTATTTTTAATTAGCTCGATATCTGTCACTTCCTTGCCCTATTTTTGGCTATAATTATCAATAATATGAGATGTATTCACCCTATTTCATGTAAGGTGATGAAGTACTGATGGAAGAAGAATTTTCCTACAACGATATGAGTTGAGCTGACGTTTCCATTGAATTTCACATATCCTTGCTTTCCCCAAAGTTGTTCTCATCCAGACTAGACCGCAGTTTCGACCTCGCCTTGGGAAAATTCTACCGCCAGTCCTTCATCACCTTAGACGAAATAGGATGAATAAATCTCATATTACTGCTTTACTGGTAGTCTCAAAACTCTACTTACATACGAAATATAATTATCAAGTCCATTAATTACTGTTTTTAGCAAAAAAACAAAATTGTAGTTGTATCCCAATTAATAGTTAGAAACGTTTTCTTTTATACTACCTTTTAGGCCAGAACTTCCCGACAATTAAGGATAAAATATCTAAATGTAATGCCAGCTGTGCTCCCGGTTGTGACATGCTACTCGGAGCATCGTTGAATAATCCAGGCGTAGCCATTGCATCATGCGGATCCATAGAATTCGATGTGACTCTTTTCCGGGGAAGCCGTGGTTTCGGATTTTCTGTTCGAGGTGGTAACGATGTAATTTCGTCTCCCCTGACGATTGTGCGTATATCTGCTGGTTGTGCTGCACATATGGACGGACGCTTGCAGGTAAGACCTAATGTATTGCTCAAAAAGCGATCAGGTTACAGTCTTTTTTTACATTGGGATTTATGCCCTGACATTGATTAATGCTGCTGTCAGATTGTATTATTATATCTCACCTTTTGCGATTGATGGAGAAGCTAACTAGCGAAATTGTGGCCGCAAGTTTCTCTAAGGAAAACAGTTCCTAATCGAAACTCATTTCCTCATTGATTTAGCCCATGACTGTGCTGAATTCTTCACTAAAATATACTACTTACTTCATCTTTGGTAAATCACTTATATGGCCACACTATCTTGGCCTTCACATCTTCGCTACCGTTTATTCTTTTTACTGCTATTTGGATTGTATTTTTATTGGGAAATGTTTAACTTCTCTATCATGCATAGTTTTTATAAACAAAGGACATTCCTGAAAGTCACGTTAATTTGACATTTATTCCTGCCAGTGCCTGCTTGCCTGAGACTTTTTGCCTTTATCCATGACAACTTGGCTTTGACAGACCGTCATCCTCAGTGTTTTGGCGTAATTCATTGCCACATACTCTTAGCTGTTTCTAGCCTCAGCTCGGCATGCCTTGTACTAGTTTGCGTATCAAGTGAAATAGTGCCTACATAGGGTCTTATTATGTAGGCTTTTCGTCTCACTCATATTCCTAAGCTGGCTGGCCTGTTTCTTTTGGGAAAATTTTCCCTTTTCTGTCAAATTAGTGCTGGACGTGTGCAGCCACGCTTATATTCACTATCTTATTCGTTTCCACTAGCTTAATTTTGAAATTTATAAGTAATTTTTTCCGTATGCTGAGCGATTTTTTAATAATTATTTTTAGTTATTTTACATTTGCCCCCAACGTATTCTTCGCCATCTTTATTTATCCACTCTCTGTAGTCGGCATTAGCTTCCTATGTATGATTTTTTTGATAATGATCCTTGTATTCTGCACGCCTTAGCAGATCTTGCCAGCTTACTCCTTACCTTATACGTACTAGAAGATTCCTCCGACCTTCTAACTTATTTATTGCCTCGGATACATCTAGAAGTGGCTTGTAACTGTGCGGACGAATCGTCACAGCCATCTCACCTGCAAGCGGGTTTACTGAGAAAAAGTTTTTTATTCTTTTTGCCTATATTGCAATGCATTTTACTACCTGGAAATATCACCCCCATGCTCATTATTCATCGATACACTGGCCAAGGACCTATTGAAACAATTATTTTCTCATTAATTATTTTATTTATTTCTTTTTATCCCTATGGGTTAAAATACGAATTGTCTCCTCAATAAAGTAAACTCTTCTGAGGAAGTTATTTATTAGGTCTTTATTAGACAGGCCCATGAGTCTCTAAATGTGAAAATGTATACAGCAATAAGGCGAATACGGAGAATACTTTTTAGGCAAAAAATAAAATACCATGAAATAGTTTTTCCTGGCTCTCTCTCTCTTCATAAAATTGCCAATTATGTTTGTCACATGTAAGTTATATTTAAATCGGAAATTGATGAAAGGAACTTCTAATGGCATACATATTTGAAGAATCTCGATTTTTGTCAATTTCTGAATAATCTATTCGGCTAATTTTTAGATAAAGATAAAATGGACATCTATTATATTAAGTCCTGCAGCTTACCTCTATGACTTGCTTTGTACTCATACGTCGA